AGTGTTTCAAGCGAGAGCATATAACATATGCAACATCTCTTTAATTATCAAGTAGATTTTCAATTTTGATGTAATAAGAGTTGGATTTTATGTTTAATATAAATTACTAGAAAGTGAACAAATTAATTACATTTGAAATGAAATATCCTTTATTGAAAATTCATCCCTGGAACATTTTTCAATCGAAACCTTGCGAATTCTGTATTCAATGAAACTAAACGAAAAAATATCAGTTCGTGAAAGAGAGTGCACAATGATTTTCATTCGTGTAACGCTAATGTTACATCATAACAGCAAGGGTTAAGCATGCATATTCCTAAATCAAATGGTCGAACACCATTCGTCATTCCCAGTTGCATCTGCAGCTGCTTCCGGTGTTGAACATTATCGTCGGTGTCTGTGACCCCTTTCGTCTCTCGATTCCCGTCCATCGTAGGCCTCGTCGCGACATCGGCGTCTCGCGAGCAGTTCGCGTCGTCCCCGGCAATATCCGCGCGCGTAGGCGTCTAATGATGGGTTCTCGCACGCGTACGTCCCGTGTCTCGCGTCAACCCCGCGGAAGGTGTCATCGTACAGAATAGAATGCGAGAGGGAAGAATCCCGTGGTCGCGAATACCGACCCACCTTTGTCAGCCTGAAATATCACGATCGACGATCTTTGATTGACACACCAACACGCCAATTTAGCTAGCGCCCTTCGTTGCACATGGTCGCAAGAGTTAGTGAAGATTGCGACAACAGGCTGCGCCTTGTCATTTGCAGTCGATGTCATACTCTGACCAGGGTCTGAGGGTGAGAAAGATGTTCCACGTGTGGTTTGGTAAGAGAGATTTATTTGACGTTTTGTCACACGTGAGAACTATGATTAGAGGATTTTATGCATGCATATTCAAAATTATTTGTAAAAATATTTGTAAGTACGAAAATTTATTTATAAAAATAGAGTTAGTCTATATCGAAGAGTGACTGACTCAAGTTCCGAAGTTTGAGCAAGATTTCCTGTAAGGTACTTCTTGAGAAATCAGTCTAGACAAGTGAATTGACGAGGGATGTCCAAGAATTCTTGAAGAACGAGTGTCAAAGACTGTCTTTTATTGCCCTTTTATAGGAAAAGCAAAAGCTCGCTACGATTAAATTTGATTTATTTCCGAATTACCTGCGACGGACTAACAGTATTTACGATGGTACCTAAACGTTATTATACAAGAACAAATGATTTTTATGACGGTACCAGAGATACGGCTCAGTGATTATTGAAACAAGCGAGGCTTCAAAGCATTTAGAATTCAAGATTGTAAATAAAGATTACATTGATGTAGATTTTTTTTTTAAAGTTTGGAACAAGAAAAAAAAATGCGATTTTTGGAATATTTTCTCTCATATCAACGACGAGCTTCATACGTATTCCATTTTGCAAGACCAAATGCGTATTTGCCATTTCCACATTTTTAGAATAATGAACGAACGCTATTAACACTATAAAAATAACTCTTAGTAATAAATTGAACGAATGTTGAATAATGTGTTACATTTGCGTTCGTGAGGCAATTTTTTAAATGTAAAGAGATAGTGCACGAGGGGGAATTAATAATTATCCGCATTCTATTTCTAGAGAAGATTGTAGGAGAAGTCTTAGCGCTTATAGAATTAATTAAAAGACCCAGTGCAAGAAAGAGTTATGTCACAGCTGTTGTAAGATATCAAGGTTCTTATGAAAACCAGTGTCTTAATTGCGTGATTAAGACTACTATTTTTTTTTTTTTTATTTAAGCATGAACACGAACAGGAATTCTACAGAAATTATTCTTGGTGTAAAATATTTCACTTGGAAGTATTTTATTTGACGTAAACGTATGATATTGTACCTTTTATTTTTATTATAGTGTAGGGGGAAATTCTTAAGGTTACGAAAGAAACGTTTTCCACTTCAAAGTTTCTTTTATTTTCACAGAGTTTGTTACTACTATTCATTCTTATTCTTTATTCCTTTATTCGTAATACGTAGTTGGAAAATAATAAAATCAGTACAATCGTAGAAGATTTACTAGCGCGAAGAGCGTGTAAATCAAGAACATTGTCATTCTTATAACAACCATCGTGCAAGCCAAAAAAGAAAATCAGTTTTAGACACAGTCTTCAAGGCACGTGCATATAGCACATTACCATAATTAGTATTACGTATAATACACAATTCATAAATAAAATGCAATGGTTATGAACATTGCACAAAACTTCTCCGTAGCATGGTTCTCTTCTAGATTTCTCTTCAATTGTAAATGATAGAAAAACGTTGTGTAAAAGATTTGAGGTAACTTAGAATCGTAACAAAGATATCATTCGACAGAAGGAGGACATTTCGTTCACCGGACGAAAGGTCGCAAAAAAGTCACGAAACGACGTCGCGGAGGAGAAGGGGAAGGGAGAAGGGTCTTCGAGAGCGGCTCACGTTTCTCGGCTTCTTTTTTCAATTCTTTACTCCGGCTCGTAACGTTCTGACCAGGTAACTGTGTCAGGACTGCTGTGCCCGAGATCACCGACGGCGGTGATGGTTGCGCAACAAGGCGGAGCGAGCAGATCCACGAGGATCCGATGATCTAAGGTCTCGAGGCGTATATACCTACACTGCCTCCTCGATTTACTCGTCGTGCTTAGTTTCTCGAGCGTCTCGGGCAACCTAAAGCTAAGAAGTTAACCAGAGATTGACCCAGAAAGCTAGAACTTGGATAAAGTTTCCTCCAAATATGGCGACGCAAGGATGAGTAATTCGCGCGATCATCGCCCGATCCACGTTGCCAGCCTCGCTTAATTAAACCAGCGCGTCTCCAGTTTCGATCGGCCGAAGATTGCCGAAGCGTCGGTTGAAGATCAATCGATTTTCTTCCAACCAGACCCAGATTAGAACTTAACTTCATCTTCAAGAGGGAAAAATTCGAGGAAAGTAACTGAAAATTCCGTGAGCTGGATCAATGACCTAGATATCTATGTTGACACTTCTTGGTACCCAGTAGCCGTGCTACTAAATTACCAATCACTGGCCTGGCGAGAGAAAAGAAATTGGATGAGACAGAAAAAAAAAAAAGAAAGAAAGAGAATCGAAATACCGTGTCAACTAAAATACCACGCAAAATCGATATAATCTACAGAGGCTGAAAGTTGCTTCACTTTCTCGAGAGGAAAAAATTTCAATGACAATCGATCTACCAAACCCGACTGGTAGTTCGTGTGCTCGGACACGAATCGAGAGGAGCCGCAAACACGTTTCGGTAGTAGAGGGATGGGGGGAGGGGAGCTGTGAACGAGACCGTAACGAGCTGGCCCGGTCCTAGGACAACCGGGACTGTCATCGCGTAGAACCGAGAAGCCAAGGCAGCCAATGACTTCATGGTGGGGCGGTCGTACAGTTACAGAGGTGAATTAATGGCCTAGAAGCGAAGAACGAAACGAAAGTAGATCGACGACGTGTCTTAAAAACACAAAGGAAATGGAAACACTGACGCACTATCGAAGCGAATCGACCCGTGGACGAAAAGTGATCGACAAAATGGAGACAAAGGCGCACGTGCGACAACTGGATCGGCCTGATGAATACGCCAGCGATGACTGTGAAGAACAAATCGGAGCGCGGTGCACGTCACGCTGTATCATCGATGGATCGAGAGGAACGAGAAATAAGAATTCGAGGAATCCGTAGCAACTGAATGATCGAATAAAAAGAAAAGTTGATCGAACGTTCCACGAAGCAGTCTCGATGGGGTGTCGGTACAGTTACAAAGGTGAATTAGCTGGCCGAGAGGTTACATCGCGATTAACGACAGAGAGGAGATACAGAGAGGAGTTACACCCGGCTCCTTCTGGCTTCTTTCTCTCTTTCACTCGTCTCGGCGATGTAGATTCTCGGCGTCTCTCGCGGTGGGAGGATTCCGGTGTGTCGGTGTCCACCTGGTAGGAGTGGTGCACCAACACTAGATCCAGCTTAGCGAGGAAAGCGTCTCCGTCGCTCTCCGCGATCCGGTGATCCGTTCGCGGTACGAAGCAAAGAGAGGAGAGGGAGAAGGAACGCCGAGGAGGAACCCAGTAGAGGAAACGATCGAGAAGCGTTAGAGGGAGAGACCTAGCTGCCGCTATGGCAAAAGGAAGAAGACGCGAGGAAGAGAAGGAGAGGGAGCGAGATCGTGAGAGACAAACCGGCCACGGGGTGGGAGAGGACAGGTCGCGTGCCGGCGTGGTGCTACTCCGCCGTAGCTGAAAGAGAGGAGAGCACTTACCTTCCCGACGTCTCTCACGGTTAACACGTAGGGGAGCTCCTCGCTATCCTTACCGCGCACACCTTCCTACCTGGAGCGTACCGACGATCCACCCAGACTATCAATGACCACAAACGAACATCCACCTCGTGTGTGTTCCTCGTGGTTCACCTACCTACCTACCTACCTACCTACTTACCAACCTACCCGCCAACCTACGGATTCAACCTGGTCTCCCCGCCCAGTCCACCGCTGTACCCTTCTCGTTGTGTGCGTGCTTCTCCTCGCGATATCGCGTCTCCCCTCGTCTCTCTTTCACTCTCGTCACCATCTCTTGTTTCCTCCACCAGGTTGGTCTACTTACCTCTCTTTCTCTCTTCTCGCCGATCACCTTTTCCTCCCCTGCTCCGTTTCACTGCTCCGGTGATCGCGACCACGCCGCGCGCCCTCTCCTGTCTCTCTGCCCTCTCTGTTCGGCCGCGCGCGACGCAGCTTTACTCACCGACACACTCGGCTTACTCACCACCGTGCACTCAGCCTCCTCTCGTCGCTGCGTCTCCTGCATCGTCTCGCCTCACCGCGCCGCGCCGCACCACGCCACGCCACGCCACGCCACGACTCTCCCCGTTCCCGCCTCAGCCAGCCACAACTCGCAGCGAGTCGCGTCTTACGAATCTTCAGAGAGCGCTCGCTGATATTCCGCTTCGTCCACGAGGCAGCCCGACGGGGGGGATATCACACGCCTCGAGAGAGGACCTGGACAAGGAGCACCAAACGATCGCTGGACGGTGCTGAGCAACGTGGTTGACTCCTTCCGTTTCTCCGTGCTCTCCAGTCCGAGCGCGACCAGTCAGGACTCAGCTGTCCTGTCGACACGACACGCGATCCACGCGATCGATCGGAAACACCACGCGGGAACAACTACCCGATCGACCCGCGGCAACACCATCCTCCAGCATCCGTACCACGCCAATCGCGCAGGATACACACAGGATCGCGCGTACATCTACCAATCCGAAGATTGATCGTCGCATGGTCCTTCCGTTGCTTCGTCTTCTGGTTCGAGTGACGACGCAGTTCGCTGGCAGCACGATCTCTAGTCAGAAATATCGCGAGAAGAGTTGCAGAGGAATAATAATCGTCGACGTTCGCCGCGTGACACGCGCGCGCACAATCAGCGAGGGAAGCGGGTGTCGCGATCTGTCGCTCGAACACGTGGTCGCCACGAGGCACGCTGTTGGAACCGGAGATCCTCGACAAACGCCATCAGGATGTACGATCGGACGTTTCGATCTGGATACTCGTAGAGCCGACGATCCGGACGAAGATCGATGAACGAGGAAGAAGAAGAGTGCTCGAGTGTGAGGATAGTGTGCTGTTGGTTGAAAACGGAGTGCCCTCCTCGCTTTCCCTCTTCGCTTTCTTCTACCTCTTCTTCTTCTTCCTCCCTTGACTGACTGACTCTGTCTTCTCTTTCTCTCTCGCGGAGCTGTGGTGAACTGTTACGAACGCGTGATCGAGGGGGAAAAAAAGAAGGAGAAAAAAAAAACGGAGAAAGAGGGAAAACGAGTTTGATCAGTAACCGGGCGAAAATCGATCGCAACGAAACAAGTGAGGAAAGTGAGAAACCGTAACCGCCGGAAGTTACACGCCAGCTGCCCCCGGCTTCAAGGTCATGGAATGACGCACAAGGTAAAATCTATTTGCTCTCCTTCGTTCTCTTTCCGTTTAACGAGGGGCTACCTTCCGGCCACCGGCGCGCCTCTCCGAATATTTATGAATCGACACACCGCGAAAAAACGAATCCACCGTCCTGAGAATACGATTGAGACGTTCGCTTCCTTATCCGGCTACCGACCTATCGACCGCGTCTGGTCGATGAAATCTCGGTTCGTACTCCTGCGGTTTCCCCTCCCCTCCGTCCGACGTACGGGCGTTCAATTTTTTCTTTCGGTTCAACCAGGAAACTGAGTTTCTTTATCACCTGTCCTACACAAATCTCAAAGAGCTAACGAATTTAACGGAATGGCGATTTATGTGAAATATTCGCAAGACGGGGGGGTTTGTAACGCGCGAAGAGAACCGAGAGTGTCACGGCGCTGAAGAAAAATCGTTTTCCGTAACGCACGAGCGACGTCGCCGCGGTTTCACTCGTCGTCTAATTCGCTTCGAATAACCAGTTTCGAAGTCGCGTTCGCGAACGCGCTTGAAAAGTAAGCATCGCCCACGCTCGTCCTTATATCACCGAACGGTTCGTTCTGCCGCTCAACCAACGAGACACACAACCGGAGCTATACGTTCCTCGCTGTTTCTCCGTTCATAAATTTACGCGCCTCCTCGGAGTGGAGGTGAAGGACTGCGCTCGTTCGAGGGATCGCCTCGCGAGCTGCGCCGCTCGATTCCCGCGAAAATTCGAACGACCGCGTGGACCCGCTTTGCGATTGCAAACGACATCGTTCGGCTTTTCGAACTGTCGCGCGCGATTGCGGTTGCGCAACATTATGGATATTTGCACATTGGTATCGTTACTCCGGCTTCTTCGAGTCAATAAACAGGAAATTTTTGTTATGCACGCGAGAGACGTGCTCGTTGCATAATGCGTCACATATTAAAAAGTCGCTCCGGTTTCACGATTGTCGAAATGATTACCGCGATCTAGCTGCTATTACGCGATTGCGACAGCTACTTACCAATTCAAAGCGTGTCCATTTGTCGATGCGTTTTTTCCGATTGCTTTTATAAATACAGCGTTATTAACCGAGCTGCCACGGAGTAATCGACGTGCGCTGTTAATACTCCCGAATCGTTAGTCTGTTTTATTTATTTCGTCTGTTTTATTCATTCGTCGTATCCTTGAGGAAATTACACGTCGCGTTCGAGGATGCTTTTAACGAAATCTCTTTGCGATTCGATATCGGCGTTATCGGCGGAGCACGAACGAAACGACGCGATATTTGACACGTTACTCGGGGACACGATCAAGGAAACCATCAATTGCGCCAGGTGATTCTCTCGTGTATGGGGGGAGATATTGGTGGGTGCCGCATAAATCCTCGCAAGTCGGTCGTCCGTCCGCTCTTAACGATTCAATGATTAAATGCCACGAATTCCACGAACCGAGATACATTATTCATAAAGAACAGGCCGGTACGATAGCGCACGCAGCACTTACGGTTCCGAGGGTGCAGCAACGTTAACAGTTAATTGATAACAGGTAAGGCCAACGGCGAGGCGCCTCGATTTTTGTTGTTGGAGCCACGCCGATCGAAATAGACCGACAAGACCGCTAACGGTCGCCGCGAAACCAATAGGATCGGCCTTCGTTCGCTCGCTTCTACTCGCTCCTCCGTTCCATTATTTTCTTTGCTGTTCCCGCGCCGCAACGATCGATCCTCCGAGTCAAACGCGAACGTTAAACGATCTCCCTCGCGACCGCTCGTCTCCTCTCTATCTGCGTAATAATTCACCGGTGACTGTTTGGCTCGGCTTTTTTTTTTTTTTTTTTTTGCCGCGGCTTCGCTCCGGCAATTTACACGGCCGGCTCGTTTTACAATTAACGCGCCGCGGATCGATAAGGTCGGGATCGAGGGCGCCGCGAAACGGACCATCGGGTTTATCGCGAGCCAGGCGAGGTGTGACGAGGTTGCCCGGGGAACGGTTGTTTCCTCTAGATTTTCCTCCTGTTCACAAGGTGCAACTGTTTCGCACTGGTTCTGTATAATCTCTCTCTCTCTCTCTCTCTCTCTGTCTCGTTCTCTGAACGTTGGACCAAGTGCGTTCCTCGCATCGTTCGGCAGCCGCGGAAGATTCCTGCAACTTGTTTTTCACCGATAAAGTTACGATATCTGGCGAATGAAAGATTACGAAGAGGCTGTTAAACGAAGTTATACCGGTCGATTCCATTTCAAGAGATCGACGCGTAGTTAAGTATTCAAATACATATTGATATTCGACGTGAACTGATTTATCGCAAAGAAGTATAAGAAGAATACTTGAAAAACCTTATGAAACGTGGGAAATGGTAATGTAATATTTATTATTAGATCGTGAATTGTATATTTCTGAGGAACAAATACAATTTGTCAGTACATAAAAATGTACGAAATATCGTACTACGAATATTCAGTATATACAAATATCTATTTAGAATTCGTTTCTTTAGTTTTTCATCGAAATTTAAAAGTAAAAATTCTGTCCATTATTAAACAGGTAAAGTCAATAAGATACCAAATAATAGGTACAAAAAATAAGAGAAACGAAGAAACATTGTACATACAAAACAGTGCGACACACTAACAAAAATTCGACAATGTTGGTGATTGATCGCAAAAATATCGATCTCTTTCTATTTCTAATATCTGGGTGACGTGAGCAGATTTATCTTCTTCGATCCATTTTAATCTATTTATAAAGTTGATCGACACAAGTTGACGACCACTGAGATGATTTTGCAGTGTCTTGGAAAAAGTATCTCTCCGCGGTAGAAGAAAAGGAGAAAAGAAAGGAGCGATCCGAGAGGATCGAATGTGGCGCGTCGCGTCGCGGTGTCAAGTGGAGCAAAGTTGCACGAACAAAGCTGCAGGTCGCTTCCTCTCTTTTTTTTCTCTCTCTCTCTCTTTTTCCGATTGCCCAACGATCGCGATGCGTAAACGTGTACCGACGTTATTTGAATACGGCCACTATTACGAGAATGGAAAGCACGACAATCATGAGAGATTCCCAGAGGTTCGAACAATGTTCTCGCCTGGCGAGATCCTCGTCTCCTCTGGACTGGCGCAAACAGCAATAAAACGGTTCCTGAACGACAATGCCGTCCCCGAACCCGTGGCCTCTCGCTTGTCATCGTGTCACGCTATTATCCATCATCTCGAGAAAATTGTCGCGAAACACCGCTAATCTTCCAATTTCTTAATCTCCGTTAGACATTTCTCGTATATCTGTGAATACTCGAGGGACGGGATTATTAACATAGTCGCGACTATGCACTTTTATACTTTCGTCAAGTTTTCTTTGAGTTTATAATATCGAGTCGACTCGATTGAAAGAAAAAGCAAATTGTAGTACCGTCGAATATGAATTTGAACATTTCGATTTTAATTCCACGAACTGACGATTAACAGACACATGCTATACGTAATGCCTTCGATGCTTTACATCTGACACATATAATATAACACACATAATATAATAACTAACTAAGGCTGAAGAAAATCGAAGACTGAAGAGAAAATCGTCGGGCAAGAGGTTGATACTGGAACTACCAAAATGATCAAGACAACCAATTTGTAATTTTTGTCAGAAATATTGTAAGAAATGTAAAACGATGTACTTTTAGAGATTTAAACGATTTTTCATAAAATATATAAATAAAAGCTTGTGTGCTCTATAGTATAGTAAAGTTTTTTTTTTTTTGTTACTCTAATGTCTCTGATAGAAATTTTATGCTTTGGTCATATCGATAGTTCCAATGTTAACGCTACAGCTACCAAAATCCTCAATAACCAATCCAAAATAACCAATTTATAACGTTTCTTAGAAATTTTACAAATATTTTCAGAGATTTAAAAATATATAAATAAAAAGCATTACAGAGCTCTTCTATTTTTCTTTTTTTTTTTTTTTCACTTTGTCTTCGAAGAGAATTTTATATTTCGATCGTCGATAATTCTAATATTGATATAATTAGGGAAATATACAGTACTTTACATATTATTAATATTCAGTATTCAATATATCAACATGCACGACAAAAACAGTTTACGCTAACAACATTTACTTTTAAATTCGCGTGAAACCGAGGACAGAACGAAGTCTCGCAGAATCGCATTTAACGAGAATTTATATGTTCTTTTTCTAGAAGACTCGCGCGTGTACGGCTGTAAATGTAAATTCGACTCGTCATCATGAGCAGAGAGAGAGCGAGAGAGAGAGAGAGAGAGAGAGAGAGAAAGCGTGAAAGAGGATGATAGAGACGGGGATGTTCAGTGGCATAAAGCTGCTGCGTGGGCAGGCGCACCGACCGCGTCTATTTATACGTACGCACGTCTGCGTGTACACACACACACAAACACACACAATAGGGCTTTGCTGCTTTCAAATTAAATTCGAGCAGTACCGCAATGCCATTGTTAAGCTCATTGCCGTCGCGGTGATTCCACCTATCGTAGACGAGCGACGTACGCCCACTTTCCTCCCGGAGGAAAATCCTCCCTAGGTGCCGAGGCTGCGGCTGAACCGTTCGCCAACAAACGTCCTCGCGAAACTAACGATCCTTCATTTTCTGCGCGGAACAGCTCGAACGCGGACGAGGTCGTTTCGTTTTTAACGGTACACGGTGTATCCCTTTGCACCTGGACGCGCCAAGTGACGCGTTTTAAATAATCTCGCGGATGGAGCGGCGAGATAAGCGAGGGAACGGGCCGAAAAAATTGTAAACTGGTCTTTCGAAGAAACGTGACGCGCGAACGGTCATTCGGCCCCGGGAGTGCAGAGGTACAAAGTTGACATTTTTACGAGCGCAGCGTGATCGTCGGACATCAGCATGAGCGTGCAACTTTTTTTCGCCACGGTTTGATTTACGATCAACGCGGAGAACGAAATCGTCGCGATACAACCGGCGCAATGAGATTCTGTCTGGCGGCGCGAAAGTTCCCGAAATGCAGAGAGTTTCGGTTTACCATTCTCCCCAGTTA